AATTGTTTTGTGACAATCAGGCAACCATTCACATGTTGCTAATCCTATATTCCACGAGTGAACCAAACATAGCGAGGTTGATTTGCACTTTATTCAAGACAAGATACTAAGTGGAGATATTGTAACAACATTTTGCTTAGTCTGAGGATCAATTTACACATATGTTCACCAAAGTATTGAATTGTACTCATCTTATAGTGATTTGTTCCAAGTTTGGATTATATAATATATATACTCTAGCCTGAGGGGGGCTTGTTGAGAGTACAAGTGTTACATTATTTTTATTTTATAGGGTTGTAATAAGTATACCTTTTAAGGGTATACTAGTCTTTTATACTTTCCTAAGTAACTATAAATATAAGTTGAGAGTGAGAGGTAGGTTAATTGACTATTCTTAGCCTCTCTCATATTGTTTTCCTTCAATTTGTTTTCTCTCCATACTCTAAACTTAACACTCCGCACCCTCGACAACCATGACGTTCAGAAGATACTGATACTTTTTTGGGTTTTGCCCGATGCTTAATGCCCTTCGGGTCATATTAATCTGAGAAGTTAGCCTATGATCTTCTTGTTCCTTCGAGCGAGGAACAATCATGAATCAAATACATCTTAAATTTAGTTTCTCACCATATGAATAGCCTCTGGGCATTGGTTTTGAAAATCAGCCCATTAGTGTGTAACAACTATTACATAACAATAACGATGGTCACTGATCCCGTTATGGTTCCAAATTTTTTCACACTCGTACGCCTATTATGGGTGAGTAATAGTTTGTAACGGGTTCGTCAAGTTAGTAGCAATCGATATGGATTTGATTGGTCCGACACGGCAAGTTACAAATCGAAAACCCAAGTGAAAATGACCCACCTACCAAGTTGATTTTGACAACAATTTCTTTAAATTTTCTTGATTTCAACCAATTTTTGTTCTCGTTAAAAAAAGAGCCTATTTTGTTAACTCTTTTTCACTCTCCAAACTCCAGATCTGCTTCAAATCTTCTTACTTAGGTATAGATCTTGACGATTATTTGAAAAAAATTTGTGAAGTTGAGGGTGAAGACAAGATGATGACTGCCATTTCGACAAACATTATATGTTTTCGACAAAGCTTGAATGGATACGAAGCAGAAATTTGTCTGTTTCAAAGAGAGCTGAAGAAGAAAAACAGATAAAGGGAGAGAGACATCTGGTTTATTGGTTTATAAGAACTTGTGGGTTTTTATTTTGTGGTCATTTAACTTTGCTTCAGAACGAGAACTGGTGGGTTTGGTTTGGGGTTCAAGACAATGGATCAACGCGTGGAAAATATCTACTGACTACTCATTTGTTTTAAATCCCCCACAGATGCATGCCACGTAAGGGACTTGGCACTAGCAACTTCAACCAATTCGTTTGGCTATACTTTCTCATTGAAAAATAGGATAAATCCATTGTTGAAGTTAAAAAAATGTGTAAATATACTATATAATTTACCGTGACTTAATAAACAAACAATTGCGTGATTTTTGGAGTTGAGATGAATATACATTCATTTTTAAGGGAGCTGTGAGTTGAAAAAAATTCATGCCCTGATTTTCGTTATTGTTACGGGATACCAGTTACACCCCGTCTCTGTTATACCGTTACCATTTCCATTACGGTTTCCTTTACCGTTATTTCCTTTCCTTATATATTTCAACCATAGCCGGTGGTCCTAAGTGAAAACATTGAACAATGAAAGAAGAGAGAAGAGGAAATTGTTATTACTAAACCATTAGTCTTTATTATGGCTTTCTTAAACAATAGAAGACTTATATGTACTAGGGCAACATAAAATAGATCAAGTGACTACACTAACACTAAATACTTAAATATATTCAATATATTCTAATATCTCTCCTCAAACTCATGATGTGATGACAGAAAACATTAAAGAGTTTTTCATCGTAAACAAATCAACCATCTGCATAGTTTATGGAAGAAAAGGGAGAGAGATAGTGCCCAACTGGAGATGATTACGCACAAAGTGACAGTCAATCTCAATGTGCTTTTGTAAGACTGAGTTGTGAGCAATCTGAATAGGATTAGTGTTATCACAATAAATAGAGAAAGGAGCAGATAAAGAGATGTCAAGATCTGCATGCAAACATTGTGACCAGAGTATCTCGGTTGTGGTGGATGCCATATCATAGTACTTAGTTTCAGCTGAGAAATGAGCAATAATAGTTTGGTCAATTTACTCTGACACAAAATACTTAAATATGCTCAACATACTCTAACACCAAGTTAGACATTATCTATGAACAATTCATCCTAAGTGGTCATTTTCCCTACAAGAGAATAATTAGAATCCACAAATATATATATATATATTTTTTTTTCAGAGACTTTTTTATATGATTATTTGATCCCCTTGTTAATAGAGTTTGTATCCCACATCGACTAATTTGGACAACCAAAGTTGATTTATATACTTAAAAGACCACTCCACCTATTACTAATTGGTTTTGAGTTGGATTCTCTAACAATGATATCATAGCTGGGCTTTAGATGATCAATGGACCAAGGCTCTTACTCATTTGAATTTTTCGGTATGCATGGTTGTTTATTTGTTTGTTGACCCCACGTGCAAGCTCGTGGGGTTAACAAATAATTAGGACCACCAAGGTTAGCTTGTGTCACACGTGAGGGAGGGTGTTAAGGCAGCTTATATCCTACATCAAATAATTAGGACCACCAAGGTTGATTTATATACTTGAGGGGGTCACTTCACCTAATGCCAATTAATTTTAAGTTGAATGCTCTAACACATCTGTTCCGATTAGGATCTAATTTGTAGGCTCTGATACCATCTTGTAACATCCTGGTCTTCATAATCTGAATCTCGAGTGGTGAAGTGTATACAAATAAATATTCACTATTAAGTGAATACAAATTTTCATTGTTTACGGTGTTTGTAATATAAAACATAATATAAGTCTGCTTAGAATTTTCCATATCCGCTTAGACTAGTTAAATCATCGTACTAGATTTTCCAGATGCATTTAAACAGCTCTGAAAAAATATAAACAACGAGCACAATAAGCTCAATAGGTAAATCATGTTAAAAAATAAACATGTTTTGAAAATATAGTAATGTTTGTTAGTATTCATAATAAAGTGGATCTTTGTTGAACATTTAAAATATGGCACCACACTATAGAACAAGTAACCAATCCTAAGACATCGAAATGTCAAATTTCAATCACATTTAACTTTTTAGGGACTTTCACTCCCAAAAAGATATGTTTTCCCGTGTATCAGCTTGCACCCAAGCCCGAAGGCCATTGGGCCGTAAGACCGATAATAAAACCATTAAAGCCATATAGAGAATGCCATTTATAAGCCCCCTGCCACTCAATCTGTGTGCACGTAATCTTATCAAATCAATTGTCTCAAAAATCGGATAAAAAATTTCTTAATTGATATAGTTTTTTGAACAACATAATCAGATTAAGTATAACATGCTTAATTTTACCAATTGAACCTAAAAATCATTTTAGAACTATACATCAAATAATAGAAGCGTTATAAGATAGAAAAAACCATTTTTGTTTTGGAACTGGAAAAATCTGCTCAATTGGTTCATTGAAATCGGTGCTGACATTGTAAACAAAACCAATGAGTTAATTTTAGAGCATTAATTGAAAAAAGTCATTTGATAAGATTGAAGCTTAAAATATACTTAGATTTGAAAGCTTGTGCAATACTGTTTTGGTAAGACCAAGGACTAAAACGGAGGTTTGATTTTTAAACCTTATCAAATTCTTGACATCTACCGAAATTAAACCTTGTAGGGAGGTTGATATCAATAATATAAGCTATTTGAAGTTTTAATTTAGTCAAAATCATAAAGAATCCTAGTACGCCCTATTTTCGAAATTAGGTTTTTCAAACCCAAATTTCTTCTTGGCTGAAATACACCTTATTAAATCAATTGAAAGCCACAAAACTATTCTAAATAGGCGTGGAAACCTCACCCAAGCTTCACAGATCTAAGTTTGAGTTGAAATTTTAGCAGAACCTCCCCATCTCCTTTCTTTCTTTCTCCTCTTTGTCTCTTCTTTCTCTCTCTATGAATTCCCTTTCTTTGAAACGAAATTATTACTTTCTCTTTTCATGTGAGGCTCCATTTTATAGCCAAAATTGACCTGCTTGTCCTGGTTTTCTGCGTGGTGGGCATTATTGGAGGAATCCTACTTCCATTTTGGGGTTCTGATTGAACCCTAATTTCCCACGATCCGGATTTTTTTAATCATTATCAGAATATTTATTATTTTATTATCATATCTATTTATTTTTGTTATATATTTATACTTTTTTATTTTCAAATTATATTGGATCTCTGGTTGCCGAATTGCGGATTACTTTTCCAGATGTTAAACATTGGATTTGTTTTGGATTAGGGCATAATTTAGATCGGCATTTTTTGCTGGGTGTTGCATGTGCAGTGCTGATAATTAGTTTTAGAAGATGCCATAAAACATATGCACACAGTTCATGTAAAATCATCCTTGATAATGTTTAGTGTATGCTTGGTGCATCATTACATCTTATAAGGCTTGTGATTTTGGATGATGTTCACTTACTCAAAACTAGAGCAGCCGGGGGTGGGGCGTCCTTCTAAACCGACAACTAGGCAAACAAGTAAGTTTGGGTAGGGCAACTCAAGGTCCGGTGAAAACGATGAGAACAACAGACATCAACGGTTACTCACCAAAATGGACCCAAATTTGAGTATAGACCTTATAGATGGCGTAAAATATATCTTTACATAATTTATTTTCAATGAAGTGTAGACTCTCAGAATATTACTCTTACAGAGTGTTAATCTTAAGTCATCCACGAGAATTTTAGGGGTTGTATTGGATCAGTTGATACATAATGGTCATATTGATATTGAATTCAGTATCTTGATGAAATTTACTAACATGCTAATGCTGCTATTAACCTCATCTATGTTCCTAGGTTATCGTCTCAAGGATGAGATACATATCATCACAAACAGAGCGTGCAGTTCGCTTTGTTGGTCTTTCAACAGCTTTAGCAAATGCACAGTATGTTATATGTACTTTTGCTTTTGTTGAGCTTCTTTTTCTGTTTGATGTCATATTGAAGTTCATGCACACTGCACATGTCAAGCATGTACATCTGTCATTGCCAGCTTTTGAATTCATTTCGTTTTATTGTGGATTTGCCTCTAAATCAAATCAAACATGGTAAAGCTTCAATTATTTCGGGTCAGCTGAATGAAGGATTCTGTTACATTTAGAGCTATATGCTGTGTTAAATAACAATTAACCATATTTCTCTTCTATCTCGCTGCGTGTTGATGTGGTCTACTCCCCTCTTTCACCATACTGTTTGTTGATTTGCAACCATGCATAATATTTTCACAGCTAAGTATGTCATATTTGCTACAAAAACGCTTTACTGGCTACCAGTTCATTGGATTTAGTGTTCATTGGCTTTCAAGGTCTATTTGTTCATTAAAAAATTATAGGAATGTTTCTATGGATTTATAGGAATGTTTCACTTCTGTTTCTCACTAGGGAGTACAATATTTTGTGTAATTCTAACAATGTTGTTTATTTAGTGATTTGGCTGACTGGCTGGGTGTTGAGGATATTGGTCTATTCAATTTCAAGCCTAGTGTGAGGCCTGTGCCTCTAGAAGTTCATATACAGGCAAGTGTATGCTAGTTTTTGCTCATAATTCTGCTGTTCCAACTGATTTAACCTTCTATGTCCTCTGAAATACACGTGTGCCCATATACATGCACATAGATGTAATCATGCATACGTACACACACACATATGTATGGTTTATCTTTTGGTGTAATGTTGTGTACAAATTTCTTCTGAGTGGATAATTTGTTAATGATGCAAGTTTTTAGGGTCAAGTAGACATGCATCAACAATGTTATCATACATTACACAATAACATATAATACAATCATCTCATATAGAACTTATTCATGATATGCGAAGTGCTATTCTAGACACTCAGTTTGGGGGGTAGACTTAGACTTGGGTAGGCTTATATGAGAGGCCCCACTAATGATTGTACGCTTTTTTCCTTTTGGCATGTTTTTGTCCTGTCATTCTGCATTTCAATTAGAGACTCCAAATCAATTGTAGGCTACAAATATCAAAAAGCATTGATTTACCACTAGAAATCGTTTTTTGAAATTTTGGTGAAATTATAAAATCACCCTTGAACTTTGACCTCAATCTCCGTACATGTGTAAGCCAAGTTCAAGATTTTGAATTTTGTAGTACTCTATAAAAAAAGAGATTTCCGGCAAATTTTTTTTTGGGGTTCCAAAAAGAGGGTTCGAGGGACCAACTGGGGTGGAACCCTGCCTGGGCGTGACCATAGCAGCCCGAATCTACGAGAGAAGTCCACCCGTGGACCCTAGATGGTGGGAAACTGCAGGCGTTCCATAAGGTCGAGTCGAGCCATAGCTTAACCCTCGCACCACAGAGCTGATAGTGGGAGCAGCGGGAGTTTTCGTGAATCGAAATGGGAGTCAAAGAAAATCCTAAACTTGGCACTGCAAGCCACTGAACCACCAATCCGGTGGTGATTTCTAGCAATATATAGTTGTTTTTAAAAAGAATGCCCTATAGAGTATAGGAGACAAAAGTCGATAAGCAGCTGACAAGATGGAAAGCATTAATAAAGTTTGAAATTTTTTTTGAGAATGTTTGAAATGCCCCATAAACATTAGAGATTATAGAACTTCTGATTAAGAGCCGAGGGAGCCGAGGGGCAATTTTAGAAGTTAATGACAGCCAATTGTTGTCGAATGTCTAGACAAAGATACCTGAGGACTTGTTAGTGCTATTAATATTTGCTCTCTCTCTCTTTCTCTCACACACACACACACGGCACCTCTAGTCGTGCACACATTGGGTTTGCTTCTTGGCTTTATTTTTATATACCTTACTCCAGTCTTTTTTTCAATTTTTGATAGTGATGGTCTTAGTCGTGGTTGACGGTGCTTCTTTGTTTCAAAAAGATTATGCATATTTTATTTCCATCCATATAAACTTCCCAGAAATACTTTAGGGAGAAAATTTTTACTATTACAACAAATTTTATCAGACCTATATTGCAATTAGATGTCTTCTTTAATTAGCTAATGATGTTCCACTCACTGAACTGTACAGTTGTATAATATATTCCATCATATAAAGCCACTGTGGTTGGCGTGTAGCAGGTGTGTGCCTATAACTGCTCCTGTGTTGATTGGCCCTTGGCAAGATCTTAGAGGTATTTGGAAAATAAAAGCAGTCAATAGACACTGGGGGAGAACCACCTCCAAAGTAAAAATGATGGACGTACAATGTGGCATGCGACCAACCTGTAGTATGATTCACCATGTTCCACTAAAACAGTGATCTTCAATATATTACTGATTGGAGGGTAATGAATGAGCAATACAACACCACGTATAGTTATAGGACAAGAGATTCATTTTTGTGAAACTTACCTTTTCTGATTATAGTGGTGTAAAAAACTCCTCTGGAGGGAGGTAGGTTATGACATGAGGTTTGCAGGAATAGATGTCAAGATGATCCAATCAATATTATAGGAGGAAACTTATTCTAGGATTGAGATGATGAGTTATTACAATAACCATGGGAAATATTAAGTGACGATATGCTATTTCCGTTGACAGAGATTATCACGTCCTTGCTACAGAGCAAATAGTCTTGAGTACAATTTTTACCTGGTCTGTAAGGATAAGGTGAAAAGAAAGACTATCCGCTCCGTATATGTGCATGTTAATCTAGCAGGCCAATTTTTTGTCTAAAGTGCATTGGATGGGTGTATGCCCTCCTTTTCAACCTTTTTACCATTGTGTTAGCTTTCACCTTTGTTGGTTATCGTGGAAGTGTATGACTCGGGTGCGCTTTTTTACAGTTGCTTTATGTCTTGTACTGCAATAACTGGGGTGCGCTTTTTTATTCAGGGATACCCCGGGAAGTTCTACTGCCCAAGGATGAACAGCATGAATAAGCCCACCTATGCTGCCATTTGCACTCATTCTCCCACGAAACCCGTTCTGATATTTGTTTCATCTCGTCGCCAGACAAGGCTTACTGCATTGGACCTCATTCAAGTGAGATCTTCTAGTTTGCTTGAGATATTCATTTTTCCAATATTACAGGCATTTAGTGTCATGCTTTTGGGCAATTGAAGTTTGCAGCTTCAGACGAGCATCCTAGGCAGTTTCTACGTATGCCAGAAGAAGCACTACAGATGATTCTTTCTCAGGTCTCTGATCAGAACCTGAGACACACATTACAATTTGGCATTGGGTTGCACCATGCAGGACTCAATGACAAGGATAGATCTCTAACCGAGGAACTTTTTGCAAACAACAAGATTCAGGCAATTTAAATCACCTGAACTATTGTCTTTTATACGTGAAAAGAAGGTAGTTCTTCAGAAAAGAGTTTATGTTCATACTGATTTTTACTGATTGCATATACAAAATCTATGACATTTCAGGTATTGGTCTGCACAAGCACATTGGCATGGGGTGTAAATCTGCCAGCTCATTTGGTTATAATTAAGGTGAGCCAAAATGGTGTACTGTATGTATACATATTGTGAATGTGTAAATTAAGGTTTAGAAAGGAGAAGGGAGAGGAGAGAAACATGAGAGATAGTGTAATACTACCACCTATCTGACCCCACCTATAGAAGTATGGAAATAGTAGTAAAAGATAAATATGCCCTTTAGAGTACATGCTAATAACAGTAGTATCACCCATGCTATGCTCTGACACTCCTCCTTAAGATGGTGAATACACCATATAATCTCAGCTTGGAATAAAGATCTCTTATTCGCGCACTACTCAATAACTTAGTAGACATGTCAACAAATTGATCCTCCAAGTTGACAAATGGCCTAATGATATCTCCATGCAACCCCAAGGAAGTGACAGTCAGTTTCAATATGTTTTATTTGTTCATGGAACAAAGTGTTTGTAACTATATTAACTGATGCTGGGAAGTAGGTAGAATAAGGGTGGATAATGAATGAAAGGGAATAGTGAAATTAAACCGTTGATTTGTGCACAAATACCAGATTAGAATCCTACTCTAGAGCTGTTGATTCATAAGAATACCAGTTCTAAAGGCTTCAATTGATCCGTTTATTAATAAGAATACCAGAATAATTGGGAATAAAAGAGAAGCTCTTTCAATTGTATTTATCAATCAAAAGCAGTTTTGCCTTATGGCTTACATGCATTTATATACCACTAGAAACCCTAAATAAACTAGAAAACTAAAAACCTAAATAATTAGGAAACCAAATAAAATAAAATCTTAATGGAATTAGAAAATAATAATTTTCTAACTAAATTAGGACATAAAATAAATCTTCCAAAATTTTCTAATTGAACAGCATTGACCACGTTCAAATGAAATATCAAAATTCGGGTCACCAATTCTGTATTATTATTCCCAAGTTGGAAAGAATTCGTCCTCGAATTTGCTTTAATATTTGAATTCTTGCTTGAATTTTGGCTTTCGTCCGGCATGTCAAATTTGGATTGGATATTTCGATTTTTGCTTGAATTTAGGCATTCGATTATCCCAAAATTTGTTTTTAAGTTTTGTGATGATCATAGTTTTCTTGTTCATCTCGATCTGATTGAACCACAACAGATCGCTATTTTCCTCCTCATCAAAACATTTGGCATCAAAACACCCATGAAAGTTTTTGTTTGGAAAGGTACCCATCTTATGGTTACAAACAAAAAAGAGGTGTTGCTTTGGCAGATCTACAAGGACAACTCTCATTTCTTCCCTTAGGTCCTTTAATCCTTTCAAATCTTCCGTAATGACCAAATAATGAACCTCAAGATATTTATTATATATCAAGGTAACACAATCGACTTTTCTGAGAATTAGAGAATCATCATCAGAGTATTCATCGGATATTGGGGGTAAATTTCAATCAACTTCATATTGAATATAAGATGATTCACTATTAAAAAATAATTTTTCGAACTTCATGTCAAGAACTTGTGAAACTAAACTGTTGATTTGCGCAAAAATACCGAATTAAAATCCTATTCTAGAGCTGTTGATTCACAAGAATACCAGTTCTAAAGGCTTCAATTGATTTGTTGATCATAAGAATACCAAAATAATTAGAAATAAAAGAGAAGCTCTCTCAATTGTATTAATCAAAAACTGTTTTGCTCTAATGCTTGCATGCATTTATATAGCAGTAGAAATCCTAAATAATTAAGAAACCAAATAAAATAAAATCTTAATGGAATTATAAAATAAAATAAAATAATTTTCTAACTAAATTAGAAAATAAAATAAATCTTCCAAAATTTCCTAATTAAACGACATTGTCCACGTTCAAATAAAATACCAAAATTTAGGTCACCCATACTGCCTATATTAACTCATTATAGTGTAAGACATTGCTTTATACTCAGCTTCTGCACTTGACTGTGCTAGCCCTGTATTCTACTTACTCTTAGTAATTAGATTTCCTCCCAAAAAAGTTTAATGTCTTGTAGTAGATTGTCTTATCCATATGATCGGAAACATGCCCAATCTGCATTCGTGAACCTTTGTGCCTGTGTGACTGGTACAACAATTCAAGTTTGGGAGCTCGTTTGAGTTATCAAGTTATACAAATGACATCCCAAATTGATTCCCTGGGTGCGTCCATAAACTCACTTACCCCACTGATTGCGTATGATAAATCTGGATAGGTAATAATGAGGTAATTTAACTTCAAAACTAGGCAACAATATTGTCTAGGATATAAGAAGGGTCACCTTGAGTCATTGGGAGTTTATGATTTGGATTCACAAAGGGGTATCAACTGGTTGAGCACCTAGAAGCCCTATTTCGTTCTAAAGATGCAACTCATATTTTCATTAGGACTAGCTAACGTCATGTTTATATCACGAAACTTCAATACCAAGTAAGTATCTACTTTTGCCTAGAATTTTGGTGTGAAATTGATGCTTAGAAATGGATTTAACTTGGCAATACCCGCAAAGTCATCACATTTGATCACAACGTCATAAACTTAAACAAGAAAAATATTACCCGTTACTTAAGTGCAATATTGAATGATCTGTTACCCTAAGCGCACTTTCTACATGTATCAATCAATCCCAAAGTATTTAGCCCAAAATATAGGGCATCACAACAAAAGATTCATAATTTTATATCAACAAAAAATAATCAATAGGAAAAAAATTTTTGATCAAAAGAACATTTTTTGCAAAGGGATTGATAGACAGAAACATATTGTATATTATCCCATACCTTAAATCAACAGGAGCTATTGATAAATTTGATCACCATCATTTTAAGAACAACATACCCCAATTTCATAGAATTCAGGACTACAATCACCATCTAGTTTTGAACCTAAAACCTCATTATTTCTCTCTTTTCCCCCATCCTCTTTTTTTCTTTTCCTCTCTTCTTTTTCCTTCCTTCCCTCTTTTTCTTCTTTTTCTCTCTTTTCTTCCTTGCTCCTTCTCTCAGTTCCTTTGTTTTTCCCTATGGTTTGCTTCACTAGTCTGACATCCTGTTTATAGTGTGCAATACTTGGCCTCCAAGTCTTAACACATCGTTTGCTTATGGTATGGTGGTGATGTAAATGCCACCTCAATGGACACTTGTCCATTTTTATGCTCTATGTTGTTTTTTTTAACACATGACAATTGTCACCTAAGTTTAAATTACTTTATTTTTTATCCCAAATAAAATGCTTATAGTTTCAATAATTGTCATTAGATCTCTATTTTTGGTATTAACTAGGAACTCAATTGATAGGCAATCATGGATCTATTTTACTAATCAATTGCACCCTATTTTACTTATCAATTGCACCCAACAGGACGATAATCACACCCTGTAGGGCCACAATCATGTTTCACAAACTATGCCCTAAGCATACTTCGTACATGTACCGATCACTCTCAAAGTATTTAGCCCAAAATTCAGGTTAGCTTAACAAAAGATTCAGAATTTCATATGAATAGAAAATAATTAATAGGAATATAAATTTTAGATGATCAAAAGATCACTCTTTGCAAAGAGCATATTGTGTACTACCCGGTACCCAAGGATCAAAATTTCGTTTCGAAGTACTGTTTCGGTCAACTCAAAAATAGAAACGTTTCGGAAACATTTCGGAAACGCAATGGAAACGCAGAAAAAATATAGAAACGCATAGAAACACAAATAAAATCCATTAATTTATAAAAATATGCTAAATAATTGATTAATTCAATATATTTATTAGGTTAACATCAATTTATACAAGAATAAATTTAAATTTGAGGGAAAAAAAAAGGCTTGACATGAGGCGAAAGTCACTTAAATTAGTTTCAAACACTTAATTTTTATGAAATAAACACATTTTTACATAATATTAAGGTCTTATAATACACATGAAATGCTAATGAGTACATACTTACATGGTTACATCCATCCCCCTGTGGAGTGTCGAGCAGGCTCATACATCGGTGTAAGCTCTAGATAGTTACTTAGAGAAACTCCATATGTGACATAAATATGATGACAATAGTTACTCCAAATCATATTATTACGGTAATATTATCCAATTAATAATATTATTTTATTATAATACTAATAATGAAGGGTATCAAATTAAATTAATGATACTCATGTATACTTAAAAATTAAATGTAATTGCAGTGGGTATTAAATGTAATTACAGTAGGTATTAAATATAATTACATTAGGGTATTAAATGTAATTGTTAATACTTATAACAAAAAAAAAAAAACAAAAAACTTGCACAGCAGTAAGGTATTAAATATAATTACAGTAGATATTAAATATAATTATAATGGGTATTAAATATAATTATAGTAGGGTATTAAGTTTAATTATTTATTCTTATAACAAAAAAATTATAAAAGACAAAAGAGCAGTGGGAATTAAATGTAATTATAGTGGGATATTAAATATAATTATAGTGAGTATTAAATGTAATTACAGTGGGTATTAAATGTAATTATAATGAGGTATTAAATGTAATTATTCATAATAAACCGAATATATCACTGTTTTGTCGAAACGGTCCGAAACAATGCCGTTTCGACCAAAATGGTCCGAAACAGTACCGTTTCAACCGAAACACTGGAATTTTGTGATTCAACTACTGTTTCGTTTCGGAGTGTTGAAATTCCGAAACGTTTCGGACGTGTCGACACGACATTTTGATCCTTGCCGGTACCCTAAATCTACAAGGGATATCGATAAATTTGATAACCACCATTTTAAGAACAACACACCCCAATTTCATGGAATTCAAGACTAAAATCACCATCTAATTTTGAACATAAAACCTCGTTATTTCTTTCTTTCTCTTCCTTTCTTCTTTTTTTCTTCCTTTCTTCTTTTTCTCTCTTTGCTTCCTTGCTCCTCCTCTTACTTACTTTGTTTTTTCCCTATGGTTTGCTTCACTAGTTTGGCACCCTATTTATAGGATGCAATACTTGGCCTACAAATCTTCACACATCATTTGCTTATGGTATGGTGGTGATGTAAATGCCACATCAATGGACACTTATCCATTTTTGGTGTGTTTTTTCTTTCTTTTTTTTTTTTTTTTTTTTTGTACCATGGACATTTGTCCATTTTTATGCTGTGTTTTTTTTGCACCTGACATGATCTCACCTGAGTTTAAATTACTTGATTTTTGATCTCAAATAAAGTTCTTAAAGTTTCAATACTTGTCATTAGATCTCTACAAAGTTCAGCCTATAATTTATTTTGGTGTTTTTGTGGCTCTTATATATAGTATTGTTCATAAATCTCATCTGTTTGTTTTATCTTGTTTTTTTTCCAATTTTTTTGTTACTTATAGTTCTTTAGATTTTCCAAAGATTGGGTTCGGGCCTACAAAGGATATATATTGATTATACCGTGGGACTAGGGCTCTACACAAAGTCAAAAATAACATACATACTTTCACAAGTTTGAGAAACTATTTTTATTGGACTTCCAAGTTTTGTTGTAGATTCGGCACTAAGCATTTCTTTAACCTTGATTTTCCACAATGTAAAAAACATTCTTTGTACTTGGGGGAGGATTCAACTGGACTAAGCGTGAAAACTTTATTTAGATAATCCTAAGTCTTTGTTAGGATTCTAAATTTGATTCGATTTAGTATGCAATTTTGGAATTGACCTCTTTTAAAGTATGTTAGGCCTTGTTGAACAATCTCCCTGTCATATAAAAGGCGAGCTTCAACTAAGTTTTAATTGCTCTTAATGAGTCTGCATCCCTCCGTCAAGAGCCTACGCTTAGCAACATCTTACTCTGTCCCATTAAGGTTTCAATGGCCAACTGCTTCGACATTGTATTAAGGGGCAGCCAGACTTACTCTGCTTAGAGAACATCGTGTGACCACCAAGAGCGGTGCTAGCCTAGTAGTTCACCATTATGTCACCATAATGATATCGTCACTCTAACTCCAAGAATTCATAATCAATACTGACGTGCCACCTCTTCGAGAGGTCACTTGGGGACATCATCCGTTGACTTTGTGTAGTGCCCTAGTCCCACCATCAGAGGTATTATCCACTTTTCCCTCGGGCTCATGGTTTTAAAACACGTTTTGAATCTCAATGATTAAGACTATCACATAAATAGAATAACGACATTTTCCCTTAGGGTTGTATGGTGCTTCTATTGGACCATATATATGAACTTGGTATCAGCGGCAAAACTAGGAATATGATCTAGGGTGGGCATACTTTAACTACAAGTTTTATTTTGTCCTCTAATAAATAAAAATAATGTGACATATTTATGTTTTTCTACATCATATTTAATACTTAAAAATTCATTAAACATAAAAGGGTCTAAAGTTGATAAATATTCAATGCAAACAAAAAATAACTAAAAATAAGTTAATTATAACTTTTTACAAAAAAAAATGAGGCTAATTACAATCATTTACAATTGATCTCGATGAGTTTTCATACTTTGAAAGCGTTCCATGAAAATTTCATTATCAATGTCATCGAAAATGTCTTTTTCTATGTAAGTAATCAAACTATTTGTTATCCATTCGATTACATAACTCAGACTTCACAATCTTCATTGTTGAAAATGCTCTGTCAACGGTGGCACCTGATGCAACGTGGAAAGAAAATGAAATGCTTCCTTCTTCTCTTGATTTCCAAGTTTCCAACGTGATGTTGGTGGTGCAGTGGCGCAGGAGGCGTCATTTCTTTGTTTTCCACTTTGCTTGTCTTTGGAAAGAAGATGACTAAGGACAAATGACAAAGGAGTGGGTCAAGAGCTTTTGTGACTTAACATTGTTTTTCTTCATTTACTTACTTCTGAGAGATTTGTTATGGGATTGGTCGTCTTTTTTTTTTTTTTTCTTTTTAATTCCAGTACCTTGTACCAAACTTCTTTGACCCAATTAATTTTGTTTTATCTACCTCCCTCTACCATTGCTTTGTATCTCAGTCTCATCTTACCTCACCTCATCCATCTTGGTTCTCGGCCTAAGAAGTCTTAGCATTTACCACCAGTGGGGAGACGAGAGGAGTTTGCAAGACATGCTGTACACATGTTTGCAACACACTCACCTAAAAGCTTAGGCATGTAGCTAGTGAGCTTATTTATTGCATGTTTCTTAAAGTGTACCGTACTTGCGTAACCTTGCTTACTTTTCCTTTCCGTCCCTTCTCTTACATATGACAGAAAGATTCCCTTCCTTTTAATAGAAAACTACCATTTTGATAATTGTTGGTTTAAGTTGCGATTTAACACTAGAAAATTTTAGATGTAGTTGTGAAGAGAGCTTATATCCAACATCAAATAATTAGGACCACCCAAGGTTGGTGTATATATTTGAGGGACTACTCACTAATTGCCAATTGGTTTTGAGTTGGATGCTCTAACATGATATTAAGGTTGGGTCTTGGGTGGTCAATGGACCAAGTATCTTACCCATTTGAATTTTTCGGTAAACATGGTGGTTTGTTTGCCCCACGTGCAAGCTGGGGTCCCATGTGAGGGAGGGTGTGCGAAGAACTTGGATCCCACATCGAAGAATTAGGACTACCCAAGGTTGGTTAATATACTTGAAAGTGCTACTCCACTCATTGCCAATTGGTTACTGAGTTGGATGCTCTATCATAAATATTATGTAGATCAATAGCTTCGATACTAGTGGATGTTGATTAAAGCTCTAATACCAAATAATGTAGATTTGGAAGAAGAATTAGAAAGAGAAGATTAGAAAAAGAGAATTAAGATGGGCTGGAAAAAATTAAGAAGGGACATGAGTATTCAATGAATCAGTCAAAGTATACTTGTGATGGCTACTATTTTGAAAGACGGTATAATTCACATCATAATATTATGTATGTTTTGTGTAAGTTGCATTAATATGATTGTCGGTAGGTTTATTTCATACTGATTGGCTGCCACTGCAATTTTGTTTCTGCTGCTTTTAACTCAATTATGCTGCCTATATGAGCATTGATCTAGGCTTGTCTGACCCGCACTAAATGGGACAAAAGGACATCTGTTGCACTTCTTGGTGTGCATTACTGTCAGCTACATACCCTGTATTATATCTCTCTTAGTCTTTCAAATTGAACATCAGTGTGTGTTGCAGGGAACAGAATATTATGACGGAAAAGCGAAGCGATATGTGGATTTTCCCATCACAGATATCTTGCAAATGATGGGTCGTGCGGGGAGACCACAGTATGATCAACATGGAAAAGCTGTCATTCTTGTTCATGAACCCAAAAAAAGCTTCTATAAAAAGGTTGAATAAAAATTGTAATGTTTTAATACAGATGCGAGTATTTTAGTGGCCATATTTTCCAAAATTGATGTAAGAATCGATGTTTTCCCTTGCAGTTTCTGTATGAACCATTTCCAGTCGAAAGCAGTCTGAGGGAGCAGCTACATGAGCACATCAATGCTGAGATAGTTTCTGGAACAATTTGTCATAAAGAGGATGCCTTGCATTATCTCACGTGGACTTATTTGTTTCGGAGATTGGTATAGTTACGATGATCTCATTATGCATTCAAAAGATGATTAGCACTGCCTACTGTCTGAACTGATCTTAAATTATTGTTCAAACTTCAAAAGATTGGTTTTTCTGATGGTCCAGAAAGCTCAAGTTGGCATGTTAAGTCAAAATTTCATGGAACCATAGTAAGTCTTACGCAGAAAAATATTGAAAAAATGAAGTCAAATTAGATGAAATAGAGAAAGTGAACCTTTCAGGATTGATTGCCTTGCCTCCTAAGAAGCAAGGACATGGATACGACATGACATGGACATGGGATTTTTCAAAAAAAAATAGGACATGGACATGTTGGGGGGACATGCGAAATATTAAGTATTTATTTTTTATATAAATGATCATATGATAAAATAAATATTTATATTAATAATATTCATTCAGTTCATCTTTTCTATAATTCTAACACCTTAACATCATGAAATCATCGAATAATAAGTCAAATATCAGACTAAGTCAAATATCAGACTGATGCATTCATCATAAACATCCATGATCCAACAATTAATGACTAATACAATTTCAATTTTAAAAAAATATCACACTTCATAACCTTAATTTTCGTTTAATTTCAAAGAACCCCAGTTCCATAATCTAAAGTTTGTTGAGAAGTTTCTAAAAATTTGAAAAAAAAAGGAAGAGAGAAGAGGAAAAGGAGAGACAAAAGGATGTGGAGTGTAATGTCATAGGGTACACTGCACCCCAACTTACATATATAAGCACAAAGTACAAGAATAGCCTCAAACTAAAAATAAAGCATAACTAACATAACTAACACTCACCCTCAAGTTGGTGTATAGATATCTCTTATGTCTAACTTATAAACAACAGGATGAAAAATCTTGTTACTAAGTCCCTTGGTGAAAATCTTGGCCAATTGGTTTTTTGATTTCACAAAAAGCATGCAAATCAAATATTTGTTCAACTTTTGTTTTATAAAGTGTTGGTCAATCTCAACATGTTCGGTTCTATCATGATGAACTAAATTATGAGCAATATTGATAGCAACCTTATTATCATAGGACAGTCTCATAGGTGCATCTTCATAAATTTTGAGCTGTCTCAACAAGGTTTTAAGCTAGATAAACTCACAAATTCCATAAGCCATTGCTCTATATTTAGGCTCAGCGCCAAACTTAGTTACAAATTCTTGTTTTTTATTTTGCCAAGTAACAACGTTTTTTCTTATCAAGCTGCAGTAGCTCAAAGTAGATCGCCAGTTTCCACTGAACCTACCCACTTTGCATTAGTAAATGTTTCTAACTACAAGTGACCCTGTTTGGAGAATTGAATTTCTTTATCTGGAGCTAACTTGAGATACTTCAAAATATAAATAAACATCAAGATGAGGATTTCGAGGACCATGCATGAACTGACTAACAACACCCACTATATAATCAATATCTGGACGAGTATGTGAGAGATATATCAATCTCCCTACTAATCTTTGATTATCAACTACATCACCAATTCCACTGCTCAATTGATTATTGACTTCAATGGGAGAATTTATAGGTGTACATCCTAACATACATGTTTCTTTAAGGTCAAGAATATACTTTCTCTAGGAGATAAAAAATGCCTTTATCTGATCTAGCAACCTCAATTCTAACAAAGTATCTCAATGGATCTAAGTCTTTGATTTTAAATTCCTTAGCCAATGGACTTTAAGTTTGGTGACTGTCTGCACATCGTTCCAAGTTTTTACTATGTCATCCAAATACACAAAACAATTATCTTATTATCAAACTATCTAATGAACATAGTATGATCAACATGACTTTATTAATATCCAAATTTAAGCATGACTTTGAGAAACCTATCAAACCAAACTTGGGGAGACTACTTTAGCTCATAAAGAGACTTCTTCAACATATATACCTTTCATTCAATTAACTGGAATAAAAAACCTGATGGAATTTTCATATACAACTCTTTTTTCAAGTTTTCATGAAGAAAAATATTCTTCACGTCCAATTGTAGCGGATTCCAACCCAGATTAGCTGTATATGAAAGAAGAGCACGCATGGAGTTCATCTGTGTCACAGGGGTAAAAGTCTCCTGATACTCAATGTCATAAGTGATAGGTTTAGGTGAAGTTCTTGGCAACTAATCTTGTTTTGTACCTCTCGATTGTGCCATCGACTTGATGTTTGATAGTGAACACCCATTTGCACTCTACTACCGTCACTACATACATGCATTGATCTCTTGTACAACTAATTTGGGGTAGAATTTGTAGCAATTGGATGCGACAAATATCTTTCTTCATGGGTATTTGGAGAAGGATGTGTACATGGAGATTCTTCCATGTTTTTAATCTCAAATAACTTAAGGGAAGGTGTGTAAATTGAAGAAGTCTCTTTATGGATTGAAGTAATCCTCGTGGGCTGGGTTTAATAGGTTTCTTAAGGCTATATTAAAGTTTGGATATAAATAGAATCAAACTAACCAAGTGAAACCCCTTTAGAGATAGGGGGCTAGTCTGCTCTGCTCTCATCTAGCAAGCTCTCTAACACTAGCTAGCGCTAAGATCGTTTGCTCCTCAGCAATTGATCTGAAAAGTGCCACAGCTGCTTTTTAGGCGAGCGAAGTGACCTCCGTGAGAAGAAAGAAGCTAATAGAGTCATAGAAGATCTCGATAGAGGCAAATTGCCAGAAAGAGGTAGTGGATTTTTCCTTGGTCCTGCTATGCTCGTTCATCTCTACTCTACTTTGAATAGGATTCATATTATGTTCATTTGATTGATTGATGATCAGATCACCATCCTTATTGTATATGTGGATGACATAGTGATAACTGAAAATGATGAGGAAAAAGGTCACCAAATTGAAGGCTAGGTTGGTTAAGGAGTTTGAAATAAAAAACTAGAGCCCGTTGAGATACTTCCTTGGAATTAAGTTGCCGGGTTGGATAAAGGCATTTTTATCTGTCAGAGAAAGTATGTTTTGCACCTTCTTGAAGAAATAGGGATGTTAGGATGTAGACCTATAGATTTCTCTATTGAAGTCAACCATCAACTGAGTTGTGATGAGGTACTAGAAAAAGAAGAGATACCAGAGACTAGTGGGGAGATTAATCTCTCACATACTCGACTGAATATTGCTTATCCAGTTAGGGTTGTCAGTCAATTCATGCATGATCCTCGAGCTCCTCATGTTGAAGAAGTTTATCAAATTTTGAGGTATCATGAGTCAGCTCTAGGAAAAGAAAAGGGATCATTCTCTCCAATAATGGTTACTTAAAACTAGAAGTATTTAGTGATGCAGATTTGGCAGGGTTGATGGATGATAGAAGATCAATTTCAGGCTATTGTGTGTTGATTCGAGGTAATTTGGTCACATCGCAATGCAAGAAGCAAGCAGTGGTGGTCAGGTCTAGTGTTGAGACTGAATACAAAGCTTTGGCCCATGGGGGTTGTGAGCTTATGTGGGTTCAAAGATTAGTGAGAGAGTTGAAGATTTATGATGATGGTCCTATAAGGCTATACTGTGCCAACAAGATAGCTATCAAAATTGTCCACAATCCAGTTCAACACAATAGAACTAAGCATGTTGAAATTGACCGGCGCTTTATTGAGGGAAAATTAAATAAGGGTATGATTTGCATGCCTTTAGTGAAATCAGGAAACTAGTTGGTCGATTTCTTCACAAAGGGGCTTAATAGTAAGGTTTTTCACCTCATTGTTTGTAAGTTAGGCATGAGAGATATCTATGCACCAACTTGAGGAAGAGTGTTATGTTATGCATTATTTCTAGATTAAGGGTAGTTTAGTACTTTGTACTAAATGACTATATATATGTTGGGTGTAGTAGTTTAACCTAATATATTACACTCTTTCCTTAAATCTTTTTCTCTCTTGTTCTATGTTATTCTCCAAAACCCTAACGCCGTAGTATCTCTTGTTCTCCGATATTCTCCAAAACCCTAATGCCGTTGTAATCTAACTCATTATATGTATGTGATAAAATGCCCCTACACATTTTCCAATAGATTTTGATGGTAAAATTTCAGCATATGGAATGTCCCCGGGTTTGTGTGTCTCCTTTCGTATTTCACCTTTTCAATGATGATCTCTAGGGGCTTTCAAAGATAAAATGATGATCTCCTGGATATGGAATAGCCAGAACATGGCTTATTATGACATGGTTTCATATTTGTTAGTGTTTCTTGATGATATCAATATTTATGTGACAGATGGTTAACCCTGCATATTATGGGTTAGAGGATCCAGAACCCCACACTGTCAGTTCATATTTGTCAAGGTAATAAGACAGCTATCCTGCTCTGGTAGAATAAAGTTGGTTAGGAGTCACCTTTTGAATCCTTGATAGTGCCATGTTTTCTTTGGCAGCTTAGTGCAAGACACATTTGAAGATTTGGAAGATAGTGGATGCATCAAGATCAATGGAGACAGTGTAGAGCCTTTGATGTTGGGTTCAATTGCATCTCAGTATTACCTTAAATACTTGACTGTGTCAATGTTTGGTTCAAACATAGGTCCATATACGTCACTTGAAGTAAGTACAAACTATCTGGACATCAATCATCATTCAGCATTAGTATTGCTTCCTACAGCTCAACTCAACTCATCAAAGCCTTGTCCCAAATCCCAATAATCAAAATGCTTGGACAAGGCTTTGATAAGTTGAGTTGTAGTATGTTTTAATAGACTATTCTTGATATCATATATTTTTTGTCACAGGTTTTCCTTCACATACTATCTGGTGCTTCTGAGTACGATGAGTTGCCTGTGCGACATAATGAGGTAATTTCCATATTATGATAGTCTCAGATTTTTGTTCATAATTTTTGGATGACCGTAAGAGCATGAGAATTGTTTTTTTTTTTTTTGTGCGGTGTTGTTTGCTTTCGTTTTGCACCTGGGGGAAGGAATAAAGATATGTACGGTTATGTTGTATGGTATCATCCGAGTTTTATTCCATGAATTTGGGTGATACATCAACATCTCTATTTCCAGTGACACGGGATTTAGTGGGTGGCTTGTGATTGTGAATTTTATGGGGAGTACAGTAAAAGACAAAAAAAGAAGGCCCTTTTGTTGTCCCAATGCTTTGTTAAGCATGATTTTGATGATAACAAACATCCTAATATGGACTAATGTGGGCATTAGTGTGTGGATGAAGTGTAGGTGTTCATGCCAATGAAGAAAAAGGACAAATAGAGAAAAAGAATGAAAATTCAGAGAGGTTATCTGGTATACTGGACAATTCATCCGGAAGGCATATCCGGTATGCTGGATACAAAAGGAATCAAAAAAGGGAAAAGGCATCCGAAAGGTTATACCGGTATGCCCGTTGAGGCATCTGAAAGGCTATATTGGTATGCTGAAAGGCTATATTGGTATACCGAATTGACTAACCAGTATGCCGGACTCCAAATGAAGCAAGGTCAAAAGGTTAGGCACACCGGTAGACCGCTTAAAAGGCTCCGGTCTATTGGACACTGTGAATCTGCCTACTGGACACTGTGAACCTGCCTACCAAATGAGTAACCGGCAGACTTCGAAAACTCTCTAGAATTTGATGCCTCAACCAAAGGCTATAAGAAGGGATCAACCCTTTTCTGAAGATCCCGTTCTCCAAGGTAATGAAGAAAGGAGTACTGTTTGAATGAATGGGACGAAAAATGCCAACATGCCTTTGACAGCCTGATCTACTAAATCCTCCAGTCCTGGCAGCTCCAGAGAAAGGAAATTGATCTTATACATAGCAGCTATGGACAAGTTGACAAGGGTTCGGCCACAGCTGCTCTAGCCATGTTGCATAAGAAGGAAGTATGATGGGAGGAAGGCTAAGCAGAAGTGTGAAGTTATCCGGTCTACCGGATGTGACTGTTGGGGCTGCAACGACTACATCCGGTAGCCTACCCAGTATTCTGGATTGACTTCTGGAAGCTACGTCATAAGCTGTTTCTTTTTGACAAGTCTGCCATTCTCATCATCTAAGACACCTAATGTATAAATAGTGTCTTGTGAGCTTTCAAAGACAACTTTTTGGGCATTTTGACTTGAGCAAAAGCAAAAAGAAAGAGAATCCATCATTGTCTTTATCTTGAGAAGAATTTTGTAAAAAGCCTTCTTTGTCTTCATTCTCTCTTGTGTTTGAGCTTTGATTGGGTAGAGTGAGATATCTATCTAACTCGAGAGAGAGAGAATCTATTGTACTTCTTGAAGTGAGTTAAGAAAGAGTGTTGTCTTTGTGTCAAGAAGATTGTAAAGGATTTTGACTCTCACCATGTGAAGAGATTCAAGAAAGTGAAAGGAAACTCTTAAGGGGACGAAGAAGAGAGGACGTAGGCCAAGTGTGTGGGGGCCTAACTTCTATAAATTGTGTGTTTGTTCCTCTTCTCTCAATCTTATATTTATATTGATCGTTCACATTCACACACATTGCTTATATATTGTTCATACATATACATCTAGAGAAAACAATAATTGATTTTTATTGAAGTCATATTTGAAGAAAACCTAGTTCACCCCCCCCTCTTAGGTTGCTTTTGGGCCAACAATCTCTCTATAGACTTTTCTGTTGTTATTTTCCACTTACTAACTCTTGCCTGAATCATAAGGCCATATTGCTTCGGTGTTCAATCTACTCAATCAGTTCTTTTTTAATGGCCATTGTATAAACTATCTTACATGATTTAGTTGGTCATAACACTGCATCATTTATTTGAGATACTGCACCCCACCAATGAGGATACTCCAAGAACAAAGCACAGCAGAGTATATCTGATCAAATTACTGTTGGACTAATCCACTTTCCCAGAAGTCTTATATAACTTATGTCGCATCATATATACTGCACCCCACCAATGAGGATACTCCAAGAACTAAATACAACCACAACTCGAGTATATCTGATTAGATTACTATTAGATTAATCTATTTCCCCCGTAGTCTTATGTATCTTCTTGGGTCATGATAGAGTACATTATCCCCTTTACCTTGGTTACAATTTGAGATTATTTAAACTTCAATGGATTGTTTCCCCATCCCCAGTTTCATGCAACAATGTCTCATGATTTCTTTGAGAAATTAAAATCCCCTTTCAAGACCGATTGCTTTTGTTCTCATAGAATACGTGAAGTTATCAAACCTACTAATGTAGAAGTTCCTGCTAAGAGAGTTGTAAATCAATAATTCCTTAGGATAGTCAACTTGTAACCAAGGATCAAAATGTCGTGTCGACACGTCCGAAACGTCCGAAACGTTTCGGAATTTCAACACTCCGAAACGAAACAGTAGTTGAATCACAAAATTCCAGTGTTTCGGTCGAAACGGTACTGTTTCGGACCGTTTCGGTCGAAACGGCATTGTTTCGAACCGTTTCGACAAAACAGTGATATATTCGGTTCATTATGAATAATTATATTTAATACCCCATTATAATTACATTTAATACCCACTGTAATTACATTTAATACTCACTATAATTATATTTAATATCCCACTATAATTACATTTAATTCCCACTGCTCTTCTGTCTTTTATAATTTTTTTGTTATAAGAATAAATAATTACACTTAATATCCTACTATAATTATATTTAATACCCATTATAATTATATTTAATACATACTGTAATTATATTTAATACCTCACTGCTGTGCAAGTTTTTTGCTTTTTTTTTGTTATAAGTATTAACAATTACATTTAATACCCTCATGTAATTATATTTAATACCTACTGTAATTACATTTAATACCCACTGCAATTACATTTAATTTTTAAGTATACATAAGTATCATTAATTTAATTTGATACCCTTCATTATTAGTATTATAATAAAATAGTATTATTAATTGGATTATATTACCGTAATAATATGATTTGGAGTAACTATTGTCATCATATTTATGTCACATATGGAGTTTCTCTAAGTAGCCACCCAGAGCCTACACCGATGTATGAGCCTGCTCGACACTCCACAGGGGAATGGATGTAATCATGTAAGTATGTACTCATTAGCATTTCATGTGTATTATAAGACGTTAATATTATGTAAAAATGTGTTTATTTCATAAAAATTAAGTGTTTGAAACTAATTTAAGTGACTTTCGCCTCAAGTCAAGCCTTTTTTTCCCTCAAATTTAAATTTATTCTTGTATAAATTGATGTTAACCTAATAAATATGTTGAATTAATAAATTATTTAGCATATCTTTATAAATTAATGGATTGCATTTGTGTTTCTATGCGTTTCCATATTTTTTCTGCGTTTCCATTGCGTTTCCGAAATGTTTCCGAAACGTTTCTATTTTTGAGTTGACCGAAACGGTACTTCGAAACGAAATTTTGATCCTTGCTTGTAACAAGCATGTCATCAACTGGTATGCTACAACAATAGTGTCTCTTGTCAACATTTATGAAGCACTGGCACTCTTAGGAAGGTGATGTATCGGTGTCGGAGACTAACACTCTTCAGACATGTGCTTGATACTCTTTTATCTATGTCCATAATTAAATAATAAAATTTTAATTTTAGATATGTGTCCGACACTTCTTTGGTAATGTGTTTGACACGTCTTTGAATTATGTCTACTACTAAACAATAAACATGTGTTGACATGTTATTAACAAAGTCTAAAAAATTGACTAATAAATATCTTATAGTGTTAGAGAATATAAAATTACCAAGACTAGACATGTTAAAGTTGTACTTAAAATATAATAACAAAAGTAAAAGATACATAAAAGATTTAGAAAAGGGGAATTGAACACATGAGAAAAATCATTTAAATTATATATGTTAGTCTAAAAATTCACACTAGATGACTAGATATAACATTTATTTATCCTAAAGTATTGAAGTTTTTATGAATAATATATCATTATCATTATATTTGTGATAAATTATATAATTCTATACATAAAATATAATTATTTGTAGCATGTCTCCAACTTGTCCTTGTCCTATTTTTTTGAGAAATGCCATGTCAGAGTGTTCGTGTCGTGTTATATCTATATCCTATGTCCATGCTTCTTAGGTCAACATGAATCCAAAACGATCGGTATGCTTATCCTTGCCCATCCACGATATTTCACGAGTTATTAAAAAAATCCTTCATTGGCTTTTAGTTCAGTTAAAATGTAAAATAATAGTTTTGTAGTAAGAGAAAGAGGGAAGAGGAGAGACGAAAAGAGAATGAGAATAATCAATTATGTTGGCAATGTTGTCCTATAGTTTCTTATTTAATAATAAACTAATGTTATGAACAATTACATTATTACCGTACACTAGTATTTTAACATAAGAACTTTAAAACTCTCCCTCAAGTTGGAACATATAGATCAAAGATGCCCCGTACTAAAGACATATCGACCCAATGGTTTGATAAGGATGTCATCCCGTTGATCACTAGGTTTGATATATGGCGTGATAATCTCCATACGCATCGAGAGATCTCGAATAAAATGACAATCCACTTCAATATGTTTAGTCTTCTTATGAAATACGGATTACTAGGAATAAAAATAGATGTTTGGTTGTCACAATGCATCTCCATAGGAGAGGACACACTAATACCCATATCACGAAGTAGTGAATGAACCCACAACATCTCACACGCAGTATGAGTTATGGCTCTATTCACCCTCTAGACTCAAATGGGCAATCACATTCTGTTTTTTGTTGCGTCAGATAACAAAATTACTATCAATAAATATAGAATAACCTAAAGTAGATTATCTATCAGTATGACTACTTGCTTGGCCAGCATCAGAAAAATCAGTAACAATTATAGATGATGAAGAACAATATAATAATCTTTTACTTGGTGCTCCTTTCAGATATCGAAGAATGACAAATAGCCTTCCAATGAGGTTTATGATGAGCATACATGAACTAACTAACCACACCAACAACATAGATAATATTAGGGTGTGTGACTACAAGGTAAATTAACTTATCAATCAACCTTCGATAATATCCTACATCATTAAACATTTCACCATTCGCAGCATCCAACTTAACCGTGGAGTCCTTGGGAGTATCAGTTGAACGTGCACCAAGAGTACCAGTTTCAAACAATAAATCTAATACATACTTTAGTTGACACAAACTGATACCTTTCTTTGACCGGGCAAATCAATCCCAATAAAATACCGAAGAAGTCCTAGATCTTTGATATGAAACTGCTTCCCCAAATAAATCTTAAAATGCGAAATAGTAACTGAGCATCACTACTAATGATAATATCATCAATATATACAATAAGAATAATAACACATGTGGAAGAACGACGAATAAAAACTGAATGATTCATAGTAGATTATTGGAAACCATACTGAAGAATACTAGTACTGAACTTATCAAATCAAGAACGTGGTGATTGTAGACTAAAGGTAGTTGTGTACTTTGTGATTATATATAAAGTTGAGTGTAGCTGTGTAACCTAATAAGCTTCTCTCTATTTTTTTTCCTTTAAACCATAATTTCTTCTTAATCTAACTTGGTATTAGAGGCAACAATCAAATCTACCATGTCAAAATTGTCGAAACTCATCGGAAATCTTTCGCATAACACAAAATCAGTTTGATGCATTGATGTTAGCACTTGACATGATAGCGTCAGCGACAAACATGTCAAAAAATTTTGGGACAACCATGAATCGACTTAATTTTTTGTTCCAAGTATAATGGTAAATTTTCTGGAATTTGTTAAAGCCATCTGATAGGTTTCTAAATTTTTTGAATATTTTTTTGGCTTTTCGTATTCATAATCGTGATCCGCTATTTTGGACCAATGTTTGAGTTGTTTTCTAATAAATCCTTCTCGAC